CAATAGTGTAATAACCTGCAACATGATACATATTCTATTTGTATCAAATAAGAAAGAAACAGAGGTGTACATAGCATGTCTTTGATATTATTTATACAATGGTAAGGTATAAGAAGAAGAATTACTTATGCCAAGTGAAAACAAGATATTCTACTAACAATTATTTACATGTTAATGTATTAGAGTAATAATACAATCATTCTGACAAAGGTAAATGACAGATACTGTAAAATACTCTATTTTCGCTTGGAAGTAATTTTCGCTATTTTCGCTGAAGGAATGATTCAGTGAAAATTCGGCGAATATATTTTCCCCCATATTTTACATTCAACTCATCAAAAATCAGTGAAAATAAATTCCATACAAAACACCAAAAAGACTTTTCAGCGAAAATTAATTCCATCTAAAATAAAGTATTTTACAGTAGGTTTTATTTTTCTGATTAAACGAATTTCAGCCAATGAAATCAAATATTTGATTGTTGCCATAGCAACCAAGTTTTGCATTTATCACGTAATCACGGCCTTCTTTTAGTGACCCCTTTCAATTCAGACATGCTCAAATCAGTGTTTTATATCCGAAGTTGATAATTGAAAACCACATTTGAACAATATGTTCATGGTCACATTGCTAATATATATTATTTGCCAAGTCCATTAAAACTAGCATTGTAAAACAGTCTTCACAACAATCCCAGCATGCATAGCAGTCATCTTTGATTATTTCTTCTCCAATCAGAAAACAGGAATTTTCGTTCTCGGGACACGATCTAAATCATCATCTAATGTAAGTAAAGTCTGAACAGAAAAAATCAAAAATGTTTTTATTATTAGGAATGATGAAAATTGTGCAATGGAAATGAAGTGAAAACAAAACTTTGGATATCACAAATTAAGTAGAAGTTGTATTCTGAAACAGTGACTATAATTAAATGAGTTTTGCATAGTTTCTGCTGCCACCTAGAATAGGGCATGGACCTACCAACACAGGATGAACATCAAGATTAAAGTATTAAAAAAACATTAATTTTTTATTTATTGGTTCGCCTAATCTCTTTGATGTACTATGTGTGTTGCCGCTAAAAAGGGGGCGTAGCTCTGGTACGGAAAATTAAATATTTTGTGAATATAATACAAGAGTTGCGTAGTTTCAGTGATGGGTCAATAGACATGCGCATTTCATCACAACCGGAAACTCTCAATAACTTTGCCGTCGCTGCTTTCGTTGGATGTAAAGCCGGTTTCTCCACTTTTAATGTTAGAAATTATTACATTTTTCAAGAAACCATAACATAATTTCCGATCCATGACGCTTTTAATGTTAATAGTCATGTAAATTCTTTTTTGATTGCAACATTCGGTGACTGTTGCAGTAGTTTGCAGTTGGGTTTTTTCGCTCTGAATATTGCTTTGATTTGACCAGCATAGTTTGTTTACATGTATGTTAACTATCTAGTGACATATTTCTGGGTTGATATCGTCTGTTTCTCCTTCTCCACAAGACAAAATGAACTAACATCCAAAAGTATGTCTTCCAACGCTTCTACGGTATTTCTTGTAAATCGCAGGATTAGTCTGATAAGAGTTGAGTGCCTGCAGTAAAAAGCTAATAAACATTAATTAATCTCAAATAGAGAGTAAATAGTGGCAATGCACATAGATCAAAAGCCAGTGGGTTGATGTTCATCCTGTGTTGGTAGGTCCATGATTAGTAGGCCTTGTCTTTAAAGTTGTTTTGCCAGCAATATTGTAGTGTATTGAAGTGATATAGTAACTGTAAATGTAACAGCACGGTATTTACAATATATTTGCATTAGTTTTCTTTTTTATTTAACACTTTATTTAAAGAGGGTAGACCAAAATACAATAAAGTAATTTTCATTGGGACCTCTGTGGAGGCAAACTAGTGTACATGGAAAAATTCAACAGTATACATTCTATAAACTTGAACCATGAATAACAAATTTCGCACCAAGATATATTTTGTATGTTTTTTAAAGATGCCTAAAAATAAGGCTGAATTTCTTTGAGGCAAGTCATTTCATAGCATTAACTCACCGTACTGAAACGTCCTTTGATCCAAAGATGTTTTCCATTTAGAAATGTATAAACCAATCATACCTACCTAGCATACAATACATTTTTAAGTTTACATACATGTAGGTCAACTTACCATGAAAGAGAAAAACATGGCACACGCTGACAGGAAATGCCAGACATCATGAAAGTCATAAAAATCTAATAATATACATTCACGGTTTCCTTCACGAGACACAGCTGGCGTTTTCTGTCAAAGAAATATTAAATTTTTTTTTAATTTTTAGATGATGATTTGCAGCAACAAACTGTGGAAGTACATACAAAGTATATCAAAACTCTGCTACTGTTTGGGATGCATACTTTATTCTTTTTTTATTGACAAAGTACATTATTAATATATACAAATTAACACAAGCGGTGCTAGTCAAGTCTACTGCTCAATATAGAAATGAATAATGTACATTAAAACGTACTAGTGCAACATAAATTAAATAAAATAAATAAATAAATAAATAAATAAATAAATAAATGAATGAATGAATGAATGAATGAATGAATGAATGAATGAATAAATAAATGAATAAATAAATAAATAAATTAATAATCAACAAGATTATTCACTACATAATCAAGTTATCAATAAAGAGCAGAGACAATATTTGTATAGTTTTTAGATGCATTGGAAGCAAGAAAATTGACCAAAGTTAGTTCTCTTTAGGTGATATGATTTGATTTGGAAGAGAATCTAGTGTTGTAAAGTAGTCACATAGCTTACAAGGAAGTCTATTAAAGTGAAGATCATGTATGATGGTGCATAATTGGTATTTGAATAAGTCATAAATGTGTAAAATGGCAAGTGAAATAAAGTGTGGTAGGCTATGAGTAAATTTATCACTGAAAGTCGTATTATGCACATTTGTTTGCAGGTTGTAAATCAGAGCAAGGGATATAATGGTCACAACATGAAGAAATATGACAGTGGTTCATCTGAAATATCATAACAATTAAGCTGGCTGTTATCAATAAGAAGTTGAAAATAGCATTTTTAATAAAATAGCATTTTTAAAAAAATAATTAACTAAAATCAGGAAATTCAAGTTATTGTCACAGAATGAGCAGATGACAGAAAGTCCCTTACACGAAAAGCTCTACTCTGACATTTTCAGTGAAAACAGGGCTAACTAAAAGGGCTATAATTTTACCACTCTGTGAAGTGACTACAAACTGACTGGGTTCAATTAAGTATGATAATCAATTCAGAACCTTTGAAGATTAGAATTATGGGACTATTTTGTGTAGTGGGTGGAAGGAGACAAGAGATGACAATGGTGGTGAAAAGGTTAAGATACTTTTGTGTGGTAATCAATACTTACATCCCACTGTGCAAGACCCTGCATGAAAAAGTAGAGTGCTGCAGCCCAGAAAGCAAGAGTCAGACAAATAAACAGACCAGCTCTTGGTACAATGCGTTCATTATTCCTAAGCTGTAAACAAAACAAAGCAAAAATAATCTGAGTAAGACTCCGTAGTGAACCACAAGAATATAATTAATAAGATCAAATACAAGGTGCAATCATATGAACTCAAAACACACAAAATATCTTGAGATTAGATATCAGCCCTTTAATGATGTTCTTACCTTCATAATAATATAGAATGCCAGATACAGCATAGAGTTGACAATGAAAATGGCAAGTAGAAATGATGCAAAGTCCTTAGGTTGAGATATTACACCAAGGATGGCACTGGAATAAAGAATACCAGTATATCTTGAGTTAGTAAATGTGTATTCAAACCAGTTTTTCATTTAGATTATTGACGGGATTATATATTAACAGTGTGTGAATCATAAATTTCAAAAATCTGTTATATTATAAAAAAGTTTTCATTTTGATAGCATTGAATTCTTATGGTATTTGATATGCATGGTAAACATGCACAATTTATACTTTTATAATTCAACATTTTTGTCATGAATTGCACCTTTTTCAAAACACAATTTCAATAATAGGCAATTTTTAATTACTAAATCTTAAGTTTAAACTTGAAAAAGAAAATGCAAGGAGTCAGTACAAACACACACATAATATGTTCGACTATGAAAGTTTGTTACTCCTCAGAGCCTGACTTAATCTGGCCAAGGACGTCAGACATCATGAGTACATTTTTGTATGTTTCCAAAACTCAAGACTCGATTCATGACAATTCTAAACACTTTTAGGAGCTACACAAAAGTCAAATAAAAACTTTCATTTGACTCTGTACAACAACTGTATAACATTATGGCATATATGCCAAGACTGTCACTGAATCCACCTGTATTAGATATTAAATACCTCAGCATTTAAATAAGCAGAAACCTTAGTTATAATTTTCATGACATTACTTTCACTGTTTACAAAGCATTTATATTACTGTAAATCCTTTTCCGACGTATCTGCTATTATGTATGTATGTATACTAAATATGATTATGACTCTGTAATTTTGTCACCAAATCAAAAGAGCTTTCAGATAAGATTGACATGTACAAATCAGATTTATTAAAGTTTTGTACTGTAAACTGCATTCACACTGCAGCAAATCCATTTTTTTAGAATTCCACAGAGCAGGACCATGCTGGACATTTTTTTTGGTACTATTAATACTCATTATAACAGTACTACCACTTCAAATAAGATCTGTTTGTATGCCCCTGCCAGGTGTCTTAGACAGCAGACTTTTTAAATTAGACTTTGTGGCAGTCCATACTGGGAAATACTATCATATTCCTAATATATGTCAGTTTTCAATAATATTTCCAGTAAATCTGATATTGATATTTTTTTCTACACTAAATAGTTTACATTAACAAAATCAGTTATTTAATCATTTTAATTGCACTTTTTAATTTTATTCTTATATATTGTCTGTTTTTTGTTTATGTCTGGTGGTCATAATGCCCATTGATCTAGTGTATTAAATACACAAAACAAAGTTGATAATTTTTAAGTATTAAAAGTCAAAAATAGCAATTTCTACCAAAATCACAATTTTAAAATATGTGCCAAAAATAGAAAATTAATGATTGAAGATATCATCATGAAATGAAGAAATCAGACAGAGATCCACCCAAGATACCATCAAAGTATCAAATTAATTGGCTTGGTAGTTTTAAAGAAGAAGTTGAAAATAGAATTGTTGATGAACGATGGATAGACAGTGACAGACAATCACTAATATGAACAATTCCGCAATTTTTATAAAAATATAGCACTAAAAATTTAATGCTAAAATAGTACAGAAAGGATACTCACAATGACCAATTAATAACATTTCCTATGATAAGTAAGATCATACGGTCCTTCAAATAGACAGAAAAATAATTAATAGATTGATTTCCAACTACATTTGTCTAATACAGTAATGAGTGAATGGCATTCTCAATGAATCGGATGTTTAAATCTCTGTGTAAATCCTGACAAGTGAATCTATGTTATATAACATACATGTATTACTATCGCAGCGTGTAGCGTTCAAACACCAATGCAGTGGGACAGCAAGCAAATTTGTCAGTTACTAATGTTGGTTTCAGACAAGCATCCAGAACATGAATGAACAGTCTCACTTCCCATAATTTGTGAAATATCAAACAAAATGGTGCTGCCCATTAAACAGAAATGCATCATTTTCAAACTCTACCTTGTAGATTTCTTCCATACTCTTGTATATATACATATATATACACATAGAACTCTCTTTGTGGCTAGCCTTTGACCACTTTCGTTACACTCGCTACGACTTACCATATATATTGGTCTTGTACAGTGTAAACAATCTGTCTTCATAACCAGATAAATACGCTTAAAAATACCAAGATCTGAAACCAATAATATTTTTAATAATGGGATGTCTAAAGAGTTTGATGGGATGAGTAGAGATATTGTGTGTTCTTCATACACTGAGAACCACCAATACAAGATTATAAGAATCAATCAGGGTGGTGGTCATTGCCTAATCGCAAGTTTTTCATAAAACGTCGAAAAAACACAAGAATTAGTAGAAATATTCCTATTTTGGGCGGATTATTGATAGAGAATAATGAAAAACCATGAGTTTTTGCCTTAGTCATTTTTTTATCAGTGAAAAACTGCGAACTGCACAAATTTGGTTGCACAACTTCCCTCTATCATATACACCCAGCGACACCGATGCCAGCTGACTGTGGTTGGAACAGATCAAAGAAGTTGCCAGTGGTAATTATTGCACGTTGCACCCAGGTGAAAACTCATACTCATGATTTTCATTAGAAGAGCGCATTGGATTGTGGGAAAATTGCAACGACCACCAACCTTTAATAAACAATGCTTTGATTGTTTTTGGTTTTTTTACAATTTCTCTAATTTTAATTCATAATTTAAATTTCAATCAGATGATTTGATGTTTTATTTGAGAAATATAATTATAATTTAAATATTTTTCAAGTCAATGTATTAAATCATTTTCTTACCTAGTTTCCATCGCCCCATATAGTAAATCTGAGCACTCAAGACACAGCAAGTGACAATATGCACCACTGCAAACACAACCCAAAACAGTAATGTACCAAAAACCTGGAATAAAACAGAATTAGGAAAAACATAATGATCAAACACTGTGGCATTGGCAATGACGCTTTCAGAGTCAAAATAGCTCTACTTTCTTTCCTCAAAACAAACTTGACAATGTTCCGTACAATAATAATATTTATTAGACGCATAAAATCCTTAGGAAAGGATAAAAAACTATAATCTAAAAGGAAAAAAAAAAAAAAAAGGAAAAAACCTATTCTAAAAATATAAAACAAATCAAAAACAAATATGAATAAACAATAAAGACACTTTGCAACCAATGGTGAATACAGAATAGAGAATATGATACTAGCTAATTACCATGGTTATTATTCCCACAATATTCTTGCCATATTACAACCATGGTAGTTTATTTGGTTGTTGCCATGACAATTACAATTGTTACCATATGATTACAAATCTCAGAGTTCCACCCTAGAAGCTACATTAGTACAAACCAACTATCAAAGCAAAGAATTTTTACCAGAATTTACAAAAATATTTGAATGTAAAATAATATTGACTTGTGTCTATTTTAAGGTTTAAGTTGCTATTGATATTCATGAGGAGTAAAATGGCAAAACATTATTCAATGGGTTTTAATTTTGCTTATTTCGCTGACTGGAAAATCTGCTTAATTAAAACCCAGTGAATATGTAAAATTTAGCACAGAACACATTATCTAAATGATAAAACTGTGAATTTAAAACCCACTGAATATGCCTGAAATGGTAAATCAGCAAAATTTAAACCCAGTGAAAATTAGTCATTTTTAATACAGTATTTGATTGAGCTATCTTTTATCGCATTTTAAAAATTTTTACAGAAAATCGAAGAACAAGATTGTACTGTAACATTGGCAAATAAACAAATAAATATAATATTTTGTTATCATAAAAGAATAAGAAAGGGGAACATGTTCTCATCTGGAAATTGAATACTGGGTGGGACACTACGTTAGAAACAGGAAGTTTCAGTGCTGGATGGCAGAGATTATCTGCACAAAAACATGACTTCCTTTACATATTTTTCTTCATTCCGTGTAGTTGTCTTTACATTTTTTATTTTTAAAAGCAAATTTAAATTTGCAATAATATTGTTTCCAATATTATTTTTATATTTGATTTGTTTCAATACTGAGTGAACTTTGCTTGGTACATGTACTTCTTTTCGTGGAGGTTGAGTTCAATTAAAAATAAAAAATATAAATATTATCAAGAGAAACAGATACATGCAAAATAACAAGTTTCATATCCTCTATGATCAGTTTCTTACTCAAACTATATTTAAAACTGAACTATTATAAAATTCATTCAAACCAGATACATGCATTGAGTCAACACTTAGTTAATAACTTCCAAAAACAAAAATATAGGATCGACAAAACCATCCAAACTACGCTAATTTTATATAAAAATGTTCTCTTTTCAAAACAAGGATCTCCATTAATATATCAGTAGTAAATCTGCATCTGCTAAGGAGAGCCAGTTTAGCCTTTTCATCACCAGACTTCCTTGCCTTTTTTCGTTTTTCTGGAAATTAACCTCGATTTTATAGCCAAATATTTGAGTCAATTTTCAACATTTTTCTCAAAAAATTTAGCTATTTGTGTCCCAATCTTCTGAAGGAAAGTGCAAACTCTAAAGAGAACTATTTTGTGAATTTGTGATGAAAAGACGGAACAGGTGTTGAAAAGGTTAGACATTGGGGAACCAGTCATGTCTCCAATAATTTAACAATACACAGCAAAAAGCAACAAATGTTTTCTATATCCTTAGTCTCTGTTATCACAAAGCCTCTGGCCAAAAATTAGGAGTAATATTAACTGTGAACATTCTAAGCTTGAAATTAACAGCAGAAATTATGCATTTCCTGTGAAACAGACCACTTCCTTCTGTTCAGACTCAGTTTCTCACTTCCTTTCAGTCGACACAAGTCACAATGTGCATTACATTGTCAGCTGTGCAATGGATAACTGCAGAGTCATTGGCTCCTTGATCTGCCTTACTTTGGTTTATTTCTCCTCTGTAGTACTGTGTACTATAACACCACCAAATGAAGTGCAAAACATCTTGGCTGATGTAGAACATGATGGGAAAACACTTCCAGTTACTGCAGTAACAACTACATCACCGTCTTCATCTATTGCTATGGGAACACGCTCAAAACAACTAGTTGAACTGTTGAATATAACCAAAGGACAAAAGACAACAACAGCAGCTCAAGATACTAGAACAGAAGAGGTAAGGAGTATTCATAAAACTAATGAACTGAAAACTAAAAACGTTTCTACCACAAATCAAACTCAGAAAATGGACATATTATCAATAATCACAGAAAGTACAGTTCATAACAACACTCCTACACAAAGTTTGGGATATTCCATGATTGACGGAGGAAAAGTAAAAGTCACTGATGCAGAAAATACACCAAGAATGTCAACAACATCTAGAGAACACCGGGTTACTGAGAAAAAAACAAAACAAAGCAAGGCTTCTGTATTTCTCAATAGTAAATCTGCAAACAGCCAGTTTAGTCATTTTAGAACCAGTCACGTCCCAGAAATTGTCTTATACACCAGTACTTCACAAAATAATAGGGCTGCACCTGAGAGAACTCCAACTGGAACGCTAGACACAACAAATGATGGAGTACTTTCTTCTAGACGAAACAGAGAAACAGTTACCCGGCCACCACATCCAGGTCATCCATTTTTGAGTAAGTTGAACAAGTCAGATGATAACTCAACCACCCCTGCAATGATGATGGAACATTCCACTCAACAGACAAATAGTTATTTTATTGGGTGTGACAGCAGCCCTTGTAAAAACGGTGGAACATGTCATACACGGTATGACAAGAGTACAACATGTTCATGTACACCAATTTATGTGGGATTGACCTGTGATACATTACTGCCGTTTCCAACTAACATATCAGTGTATCACAAGACGAAAGACGCAATAACTGTAACCTGGTCAAAGCCGAAACAGCTTGCTATGAAATCTGATATAAGCGGCTATGTGATCCAGCACAATAAGTTTGGAAACGACAATAAACAACACACTTCAATACTACACCCAACTGTAACATTTTTTACGGTTCGAGAACTTGAGCCGAATACACGCTATACTCTGTGTGTCTGTATAACATTGGATGACACCGTGAAAATGCCATGCGCGGTACTACGTAGTCAGTGCACAGAGGCTGAAACACTGACGAATCCATTGACAACAATTAGCATAAAAGCCGCTAGCATTATACTTGGCTTGACAGTAGGAATATTTCTTCTCATCATTGTCTGTATGCAAATTACACAGTGGAGGAAAGATAGAAAATACAAACTACCCCTGAGATCACGGGCAAGGAATTCCATTCTTTCCAGCATAAACGGTGTACAACTCCCACGACAACAACCACAGTGTCTCGAGACAATCACAGAAAATGTTGAACTGAAAACCTTATCAGAGCAGGCTACACTACCACGTATCAGCATTGCTGATGACATAGCATCCCAGCATGAAATTAACAACATTTTCCCAACGATTGATAATGAAAATTACAATACATTTAAAAGTGATAAAAATGCAGACAAGCAGCGCCCTAAATCAAAGATACCACAATGCTCGACAACACCACGACATACCGATGCTTGCAATGAATTTGATTTCTCTGATGCATATTTCTTACCTTTACCTGACCCACCTACATCAACATATTAGTTCATATAATGTAGTTTAACCTTTTCACCACCAGACTTTTTCGACTTTTTATTGTAATTTCTTAAATTTTTCTGAAAACGAACCCTAATTTTGGGGCCAACATACAAAATTTGTATAAATTTTCAGTTTTTACTCAAAAAATTTGGCTATTTTTGTCTCAATCTTTTGAAGGATAGTGCAGACTATAAGCAAGACTATTTTGTGAATTTGTGGAACTGGTGATGAAAAGAATAATTTGCATAATTGTATGTAGATTCAATTTTACATTTATTGGTAAAAGATTACCTCGCTTTACCAATTCTCATAAACAGTATTTCTTCCCTGTGATATTATTTGAACTTTGATTTGTAAAAAAACTTCTCACTCATCCCTGTAAGCAATATAGGGACTTGATTTTGTACAGTTCATGAGGAATCTTATCCAACGGGATCTTGAAATCAAATTTAGAAGGGTGTCCTAAAACAAGTAAAATGGTCTTGAGTGATTATAATAACTAAAATCAAAGAAAGCTTAGAAAGAACTCTTGTGTGCTAAGGATATTGGGGGTATGAGGACACAGGTACATGTATGGATTACAAATAAGGAATAATGTCAAACCATTTATTTTCACTGACATTTAATTTCACTATTTTGATGTTTTGAGCATATTCACTGTGTTGTAATTTCACAAATTTGTCAAAAAACAATGGGTTCTATTGTTACTTTACATATACATGTAATTTAATTTAGCGGATTTTACTAATCAGTGAAAATGGAAAAATTAAAACCTAGTGAATAATCAATTCATGTACAGTATTGTAATAATAATAATAACAATCTTTGTTGCATAATCGTATCCTTATTTGGATATTGACTCAGAAAAAGTAAATTACAATAAAGATGAAAAACTTATGAAGTAACAAAATGGAAGTGCTAAATTTATTTTTTTATTTTTTATTATTTAGGGGCAGCTGGATGTTTTTTTGAAATGATTTTCACTCGCACTGAAACAGTTATAGATGTAGCTTGCTAGTTTTGTTATTTTTTCTGGCTGTTATTGCTTGTTAGCATTGTAATCATCTTTATTGTATTTACTATATTAGAAGCACATCATTAAGCAAAATCATTAATTATATACTGGTATTATTTTGACCACAGATTTGCATTTGTCATTTAAATTTGAACAGGTGTACTTCTAATAGAACAAATACATCACATAAAAATATAACTGCAAGCTGTGATCAGAGTGGTTCAAATGAATCATATATGATGACCTGATGTTTCATATATCTAGTGCTAGTTGCATATTATTACAATATTACGGTTTGCATATTAATGAGGTCACATGACCATATATGAGCATGTGGTATGTTAGTCAAATGTCCTTATCTACCACAGTGCTTAACTGAGATATTACATTTATGCATATTAATGAGATCACATGACCATATATGAGCATGTGGTATGTTTAATAGTCAAATCTACCACAGTGCTTAATTGAGATATTACATTTACACACATTAATGATAAACCCATTTCTACAAGGTGGGTAAATTAATATAAATGGATTTCTACCCTTAAGTAAACAAATCTATGACTTATCCCAGAGAACCTATGTACCAAATTTCATTGAAATTTGATGAGAGATACTCAATATAGCTGTAGAACACCCTTAAACTGGTTAATTTACGCAAATTAGTAACTTGAAGCACATAATTTAATCCTGAAACTGTATGTGGCTTACCCCAGAGCACCTATGTAACAAGTTTTATTGAAATTCAATGAGTGGTTGAGATATATGTGAAAAAGCTAAAAATTGGGAAATTAATATGCACAGACTGCAACTAGAAACTAATCAAGTATGCAAATTATCCCAGACCTATTATGTATTAAGTTTCAATGAAATCTGTTAAGTGATTCTTGAGAAAAAAATGAGAAGGCATAAAACTGGCTAACTAATATGCAAATTAGGTTATTAATATGCAAGACCTTCAATTAAAAACCAGGTCTGCACATTATCCCAAGGCATCTATGTATCATTGAAATTTGCTTAAAATGGTGAAAATGCTTAAAATTGGGTAATTAATAAGCAAATTAGGTAATTAATGTTCAAAGACTGCAACTAAAAGTTAATCAGATCTGTGCATTACCCCAGACCATCTATGTATCAAATTTCATTAAAATCTGTTTTTAGTTCTTGAGAAAAAGGTGAATAAACCTAACATTGATGAATTAAAATGCAAATTAGGTAATAAATATTCAAAAATTGCAACCAAAAACTTATTTGGTATGTGCAGACCATCTATTTATGTTTCATTAAAATCTGTTATTATTATAGTTCTTGGGGAAAGAGTGAAAAGGCTTAAAATTGGCCAATTAATATGCAAATTAAGTAATTAACATTCACAAATTCAACCAAAAACTAATCAGGTATGTGCATTATTCGAGGGCATCTATGTACTAAGTTTCATTGAAATTCGAAAATTGGTTCCTGAAATATAAAGATTTGGTGACTACAATTCATAACCATTAATGCAGGCTAACTTCATCTAGTATCCCATGCCAACTGATTTTATAAATTGTCATGGTAATCACAATAATCAGTAGAAGGTGTTCTGCATACAGTAAATGGTAATGCAACTTTAACACTTTTTCTTTTCAGTTCATCTTGTTGTATTTTTACTGTATTACTGTAAGTTGTATTGTCAGCAAAAAATTATTTGGAGCCATTGACCTGTTAAAGCGAGGGAGTCATCACCTACGCATGCATCAGGTGGCCATAGCATGTTATTGTTTACAAACAAGTGTTTACCCATAAGCCTTTGTGTTCTTAGTGTGTGTTATTCATTGCTTGGAACTCAATTCCCGCGCGTGCGCAGGTGACCACCCTTTAGCTTCAGTTATAGTTGTGTTTCAACACACTCCTAAAGCTGAATTCAAATTGCAATGCATGATGGGATTAATTGTTAGTATTGAAAACAAATGACACAAACATTATGTACTCCCTAGTTTAGTTGTGTTTCAACACACTCCTAAAGCTGAATTCAAATTGCAATGCATGATGGAATTAATTGTTAGTATTGAAAACAAATGACACAAACATTACGTACTCCCTAGTTTAGTTGTGTTTCAACACACTCCTAAAGCTGAATTCAAATTGCAATGCATGATGGGATTAATTGTTAGTATTGAAAACAAATGACACAAACATTATGTACTCCCTAGTTTAGTTGTGTTTCAACACACTCCTAAAGCTGAATTCAAATTGCAATGCATGATGGGATTAATTGTTAGTATTGAAAACAAATGACACAAACATTATGTACTCCCTAGTTTAGTTGTGTTTCAACACACTCCTAAAGCTGAATTCAAATTGCAATGCATGATGGGATTAATTGTTAGTATTGAAAACAAATGACACAAACATTATGTACTCCCTAGTTTAGTTGTGTTTCAACACACTCCTAAAGCTGAATTCAAATTGCAATGCATGATGGGATTAAAGTAGTTGATAAATTGTGCAACATGTCAAATCTTGATATATATGAATGTCGTAACTTTCAGATTTGATTTTGGCCATGTAACTCTGAATTGAAAAGTTTTGGTTGAAAATACAACTTTAATTCCTTTGTTTGAAATTGTAATGATGCTTTTGTTTTTATGATTCATTATTTTCATACCTAACCTAATTCTAATTATTTACTACATTTTTTATTTTATATACAGTACTAATACCAACAGTAAGTCGTTTGCATTCATGTATGTTATAATACTTGTTTTTTATACTAAATTATTTGCATACAAAAAAAAATCGTTGGTAGCATTTTGTTTTTATGCTAATAATTGTTTTTTCCTGATGACATTGTTTTTTTTTTTAAATTGATGATTGTTTATATGATGTGATTCCTTTGTTTTTAGATTGATGTTACTTTTGTTTTTATATTGATGATACTTTTGTTTTTATATTGATGATACTTTTGGTTTTATATTGATGATACTTTTGGTTTTATATTGATGATACTTTTGTTTTTATATTGATGATACTTTTGTTTTTATATTGATGTTACTTTTGTTTTTATATTGATGATACTTTTGTTTTTATATTGATGATACTTTTGTTTTTATATTGATGTTACTTCTGTTTTTATATTGATACTTTTGTTTTTATATTGATGATACTTTTGGTTTTATATTGATGATACTTTTGTTTTTATATTGATGTTACCTCTGTTTTTATATTGATGATACTTTTGTTTTTATATTGATGATACTTTTGTTTTTATATTGATGTTACTTTTGTTTTTATATTGATGATACTTTTGGTTTTATATTGATTATACTTTTGTTTTTATATTGATGATACTTTTGTTTTTATATTGATGATACTTTTGTTTTTATATTGATGTTACTGTTGTTTTTATATTGATACTTTTGTTTTTATATTGATGTTACTTCTGTTTTTATATTGATACTTTTGTTTTTATATTGATGATACTTTTGTTTTTATATTGATGATTTTTTTGTTTTTATAGTGATGATTTTTTTGTTTTTATATTAATGATACCTTTGGTTTTATATTGATGATACTTACTGTAGAGTGCTTTACTTTCGCTTGGAATTAATTTTCGCTATTTTTGCTGAAGGAGTGGTTCAGTGAAAATAAAATCTAGTATATATACATGTTTTCCTATATTTTGCATCCAACTCATCAAAAATCAGTGAAATTAAATTCCATGAAAAACACACAAAAAGTCTTTTCAGCAAAAATTAAATCCAGCTACAATAAAGTATTTTACAGTACGTCTTTTGATGATTCCTTTGTTTTTATATTGATGATACCTTTGTTTGGTTTTTTCATAATGATATTTTGTTTTTATATTGACAATACTATTCTATTTTTGTCATTCTATAACTGGTCATATATAATTTAGTTTTCAACTTCTAATATACAAGGATTGTAATGTGTTGATATTTGTCTTTACAAAAACAAGTTTTAGTGTTTTAACTATTAATAATGTATGATAGAGTTTCCTTTCTGCAATGCACAATACGTACAATAACTGCTAGTTAAAATATGAGCTTGTAAAGTATTAGCATACATTGCAATTTAAAAAACATTTCATATCTCAGAAATATTTATTCTTTTGATTTATTTGCTCCTCATGTGTATCGAGTATAACGATAAAAAAATCTCCATAAAAAAAATAAAAATAATATGCATAAAATGTAATTTAAGCAGAATTTCCATAGACCACAACAAAAATACGAACCCTTGTTAAAAACCCACTAAAAATATTGTCAATTTTTTTAATATTTCTAGAAATCATAAAGTATCTTGTAAGACACTTTTTTTTCATCATATATCATTGAGCAAAATTGTGAGATATTGAGATATATCCCTGCAATAAAAATCAATGTTAGAATGTTGTGAAACAGAGAAAACATGCTAGTTTTAATCCATTGTTAACTGAGTATGGATACCTCATAGTTTTCATCATTGTAACGTGATATATCAAATATATGAAAATAAAGAAAATGACAATAATTTGATATTTTATGTCACATTCCATCTTAAAAAAACAAATTTCCCCAAATATTTCATATCTCCTTACAAGTACATATGAAAACATACAAAACTTTCCACCAAAAATTTAAAAATTTGAAATGATTCATCCCCAAATATTAAAATGGCGGAGTCGTCACCTGCGCATGCGTCAGATGGCCATAGCGTGTCATTGCTTACAAACAAGCGTCTAACCATGAGCCTTTGTGTTTTTTAGTGTGTGTTGTTATAGTCGCTTGAGACTCGCGTGTGCAGGTGACGACCCTCTCGCTTTAAACATTTTTCAAATACTTTATAAGAATAAAAATGACTGTACTTACCACACCCATAACAGCTAGAAATATAATAAGTGCAAAACATGCATATGCTACATAGGCATTGGCGTTGATATCTGGATGACGAGTTTGGTAGAGTTTCAACATTCCTAATCCAGCTATTATGTACATGAATGATGTATCTGAAACAAAGGACAATTACAACATGATTAGCTAAACATTGTCCACGTCCATAATGTGTCTGCATGCCTTTGTCTGATAAAGCAACCGCAATCACCCACTTAAGAAAAATAACTTACGCGGATGGATAACTCATTAACATTAATTAGAATTAATATTATCATCACAATACTATTGCAGGATTGGTCAATGAATTCTGATATATCCATTTTTATTCATATAAAATTTTTATGATATAACTGTCATCATAACGCCATAAATTACAGAGTGCCGAAATTTTGCGATATTGCACTGGGAATTTTTATCCTACCATATTAGGAAATGTGAGTTCCAAATATGGAACAATTACACACGTAACAAGCTCTAATAATTAAAACAAACATGGCGACCCACAGGATTTTACCAGACCCCATTAAAGAAGTTCGCTAAAACTGTTCTAAACTTTTTGGATTTCGGCATTCAAAAGATGTATCATTGGGAGGAAAAGATGTATAATATGGTAATTCGGTTATTATGAGGATTCACTCAGACAGTACACCGTCACATTGACGTCTGCTACGTCTCAATCGATACTCCTCCTGTACTGTCTTCATGCATACTTTTTGGTATCCTTGTAATAACAGGGATTGCGTTAACCCCATATTTTGCTTCCTGGACTTCAATTATTGAAGAGGGACCCATTTTTTCAGGCAAGCTGGGATCCAATCTCTAATAAAGTTATCCAGGGTTAAATTTCAATTTCGTAAAATTTGGTAAGTGGGACTAGCGCAAAACCTGTAATAACATTATAATATTCATAAAACATTTATAATGACCCCAGCTTTATACCCTTCTCCATATAAATTGCAAATTTAACAAGAGGTAACTTACCAAATTGAAAGTTTGAGTATGTTGGACATACATGGTAGCACCCACTTAGAAATCCTTCCATAATCAGTGCTATACCAATGGCATAAAACAAACCAAAGTGTTTTGGGATACCATACCCCTATGAGATGAAGGGAAAGAAATTGAATTTTAAGTAATAAATGAAAGTATAGCTCATCTCATTTTGCACGCTTGCATGTGTACAGTGATTGGTTGGCAAGAACTTGTCATTTGCACCAAAAGATAAACAACACTGTTGTTCGTTTTGGTTGTTATTAAATATACATGTATGTGTCTCAGGGCAAAACAATAATGTGCAGCGTTGTCACAGCGGTCCATGAGACAGTTGCTGATGAGTGAGCAATATTTGTTATCATACCATACATTTGTTTGTTGTCCAATTTTGCAGCCATGCTTAACTAACTCCCCCCCCCCACCCTCGAAAGATTTCTATTGTTGGGGTTTGACTTAGTTCCCACCTCTTAAAAAATGTGATTTTTTGAGGTGAGTAGCGTGGGTGCTAAGTCAGATGAGTACAGTATATGCTTCATTATAGTTAATACTTCACTATAATAAACTACTGTAAAACATGTCTTTTTAGCTAGCATGTTATAATAGCTAATCCACAATTTCACTAAATTAAGATATCACTAATTAGAATAGAGTATATTCTCACAGTAAGATTATTGGCACTTTAGCTAAATTAAGATTCAGTTAGTTCATGCATGGAGTCAAATTTGCTAAAATGGCATGTAGCTATTTCAAAGTGTTTTATAGTAATTGTTTAAGAGTTTTTATAATAAGGTTACAGTGTATAGATATTGTGTAGTGTAGCGAGAGTCCATTCTTACTCATCTAATAACAATATATCAAGTGGTTGATTTACTCAAGCTACAATAACTGCAATATATATATACCTTTTCAAATTCATCATTTCTCTCCACAGCTTTCTTATGAATCGCATCCTCTCTCCAAATCACTATTAAAAACAATATGCCAAGTAAAATGTAGCCAATATTGCTGAATAGATTGTTGAAAGCACTGAAATATAAACATAACAAGCCATGCATGGCACAGTCCCCGTTAGTTATCAAATTTAAGATATAAAGTTTTGTTTATAGTAATATAGCTGGAATATAAACATGTCAGGAATATGATGATTGTTTAACATTTAAATGATTGACATTTGTATCTGATCGTCAAATGAATATTGAGGGATATTGCTCTGGAACAGCATTAATTAAAACAAAATCAGCCATTATGAATATATGTATAATGAATATATGAAATTTGAACATAGTCAGTCAAAGCATGTCAGAGATATGGCTCTAGAAGCCCATTCATTAAAACAAAATGGCCATTAGTCAGACATTCAGAATCCGATCTAAAAAATAAAACAATTTTTTTAGCACAAAAGTAGCCACCATTAGGCCACTTTGAAAAGGATCGTCAAACCACTATATCGGTATATCTGTGACATGATGTATAATGAATATTAAAAATTTGAACATAATCAGTCAAAACAAGTCAGACATATGGGTCTGGAAACCCATTCATTAAAACAAAATGGCCATTAGTCAGACATTCAGAATTCGATCTAAAAAATAAAACAAGTTTTTTAGCACAAAAATAGCCACCATTAGGCCACTTTGAAAAGGATCGTCAAACCACTATATCCGTATATCTGTGACATGATGTATAATGAATATTAAAAATTTGAACATAATCAGTCAAAACAAGTCAGACATATGGGTCTGGAAACCCATTCATTAAAACAAAATGGCCACCAGTCGGCCATTTTGAATGTTATCTGAAAAACAAAATTATTTGCAGCAAGGTCCCATAATGTCTAATGTATATATCAAGTTTGAACAAAATCCATCTGTAAACAGCCAAGAAATGCTTGATTTTTATGATTTTTAGAACAAAAATGGCCGCCATTCGGCCATCTTGAATCAGATCATAAAACAAAATGATTTTCATCAAGGTCCGATAATGTCCAACGTATATACAAGGTTTGAACAAAATCCATCTGTAAACAGCCGGGAAATGCTTGATTTTGATGATTTATAGAACAAAAATGGCCGCTATTCGGCCATCTTGAATCAGATCGTCAAACAAATTGACGTGCATATGTATGATATCATTTATGAAGTATGTGTGAAGTTTGATTGTGATTGGTCCAGGCATTTCTAAGATACAGGTCCGGACGCACGCACAGACGCACACACGCACAGACACACGGAGGTCAAAACATAAGTCCCCGTTTTCGGACTTCGTCCGAACGGGGACTAATTACAATGATCAGTTCAAATTAGCTACAAATGCATACTGAGTATTGGGTGCCACAGTTGCTCCACTGCAATGTGTACAACATGGGTCTCATGCATGTAAAACACATGTAAATGACACTTTTCATTTAAATACAAAATTCTAATATGACATCTTTTGTATATGTGACATCAAAGTGAGTACTAATTAGCAAGAGCTTAGCATTGGTTGTTGCATCAGACTCACGACTAAGTAACAATGGGTTCAATTATCAGTGTTCACTGATGACATCATTGACTGGCCCTCTAGAGGCGAAATGACACCAGGCAAAGTGGACGTTTGTCATCTACTTCACAGCCCATTTTATACCCGATATTTAGGGCATTTCACAGCACATACAAGTTGTTCCTATCAACAGAATTCATTCATAGATCTTAAATTTCATGTACAGAGTGACAAAAGTCAGACCTTTGTTCCCCTTTAAGCTTATTTGGAACTGAACAACAACAAGAGTAGATCTCTACCCTGGGTGAATGTTTTAAGATTCTATGAGGCCGACATGAAGCCATGGTTCCCTGGATGAGTGCACAGAAACTCTACAGCGACACTGAAACCACTAATTGATGTATGCAAAATTTGGGAAAATTAACATGCATTCTTCAGCTGTTTGTTATCAACTGAGCCTGGATGACAATGAGATAGTGTAAAATACTTTATTTTGTTTTGAATTAAATTTCGCTGAAGGAATGATTCAGTGAAAATAAAATAAAGCGAATATACCTTTTTTCCTATATTTTACATACAACTTGCCAAAAATCAGTGAAAATAAATTACATGTACATACAAAACACCCAAAAAGTCTTTTCAGTGAAAATTAATTCCAGCTATAATAAAGAATTTTACAATAGCACATAAAAATATATATGTCTTGCACTCCTGAACTTGGAAAATGGTTTCTGTGGAAAAATACAATATATGTCAGGATCCATACTTAATTCAATGAAACATTACAAGCTGTTACTTTACTGGGGACAAGTAAGGGATTGTAAATTATATCATAGTTTACCTGATTACTCCCAAAGGATTAGCACACAGGAAGTTATAATAGCAAATATCTTCATCACCAGATACATTGAACATCTGGAAATAATAACAAAATAATGAAATATATATTTAAGCATTACATTAGAACTAGAATAATAATAATAATAATAATAATAATTTTATTGCTTCCGTGTAAAAAAGATTTACATAGGATAAGTACAGCAAAAATAAGTTTTAAAATAATAACAAGTTATATGTAAGAAAATAAGCCTGAATGACTGGTCATGATTTCTGTGTTGCAATTCCTTGGTATTATTATGTCACCATATCTCCATAGCTACAGAGTGCTTTTTGCTGTTTTTTTTACCTTTACAAGAATTGTAAATTCTAAATATTTAGTGATTTAACAATATTTTTAAGATAAGGAAATTGGTCAGTTATGGGTTTCCCATCAGCAGTTTGAACAGGAAAATGTTATAACATACACTTTAGTGTCACTACAAGGACACCACAAAATTAAGTATTAGATCATACTCAATTGCATCAATATGTGTTGTGTGTCGGTTGATAGACACGTTGATACTGCATACTTTACCGCATCCTTGCAACGATCTCATATTCTATAACTACGGTCACCATTCTCATTTGCATATTACCATGACGATATACTTACTGTTTGATAAGTAATGACTAGCTGAATGACAGGCAGAGCATAGAATACAGATATTGGCAGCAAGTTCCAATGATATAGCTTGTATTTCTTTCTCAGTGCTTTGCGATCTTTGCGAGCCAAGTCACTCACATACAGGAACGTCTGAAACATTCAAATTGTAAGCAACTGTCATCAGCAGAAACAGTTATTCAGGTTTAGCAGTGTAGACAGTGTAAGTTCTTAATTTCATATTTAGATACAGAATGTGGAAATTGTGCCAAAAATTTGTTTTGTAAACTTGATTCTACTTTTGGATCATGAATTATTCCACATTTTAAAAAGAGCACTAAACAAAGTTTATCATTAACCATTTGATCAACAAAGTCAACTTTTGCTATTTTTCAAAAATAAATCTTTGTAATTTCTTTCATATTTTTTTTAACAATTTTGATAATAATTTGTAGTAAAGAAAATTTTGTTAACTTGGATTAAAATTAAATAGATTTTAGAAAAATACAAAAAAATGTTCAAAATGTTGAACTGAAATTTTGATGGATAAAATGCTGGCATTAAAAGGATTAGACTATAAATGCTTAAAAAAACATAGCATAACTATTACAACCTTATCCATTGAGAACCTAGATGGATGAACAACAAACGAACGATGTAATAGATAGATAGATATTTTATTTGACACAAAATTTAGCATGAATGAAAATAAAAACATCCAATAAATCAATGGTCAAGAAAAACACAAATGAAACAATAGACTAAACTAAAGCTTAGATATATAATCAATAAATTTTCTTAAGCAATTGACAATGAAGCTATCTTTAGTGCCCAGCAAGCACTTGAATTTCTCAAAGAGTTGATAACTTGCAAATGTTGTCATCATAAATTGCTAATTCAGCTTCAAATTTAGTACAAGCTTGTACAATCTGACTATTTTTACATGTAATATCTTGTTTTTGTATAGCAAAAGTATAAAAGTCCTGAAACATAAAAAATACAACACAGGCTGGAAAAGTCACCATAATTACATAAAAATAATAATTAATATTCATGTTCCTCGAATGTATTACATGTACTGTATTATTCTCAATTTTCTTCACAGAGTAATATAACTTGTATGAAAGTTTCTGAAAAATAACGTATCTAAGCAAAATGTGTTCCTTAATTAATACTGCATGTACTGCAATAATCTCAATGTCCCCATATAGAATAAGATAACATGAAATGTATAGAAGTTCCTAAAAATAATAGTACAGCAACATATTTAAACAAAATGAAATATTAGCCATGTTTGACAAGCCATTGAGAATGCCACAACCCCCCCCCCCCCCCCACACACACACAAATGAAATGTCAGCATTTAATATATCTTGCTTTTTCAAGTTCATGCATATACCAGTTTGACACTGAACACAAGTCTTGGACTATGTTGGCCAAATGTAAAACATATATGGCAATTCCAAATAATAGTGCATTGTGGGAGGAGCAGGAGCAGGCACACTTTATGATTGGCAGAGTTGTGTTAGATTTGGTTATAACTATCCCACAATGCACAATGATTTAGAATTGCGATATCTTGGATTGACCATCTTGAATTGAATTATGACTCGTATACCTTGCTTTGCATTTATTGTAAAATACTTTATTTTCACTTACCGGTAGAATCCAACGAATATACCTTTTTTCCTATATTTTACATTCAACTTGTTAAAAATCAGTGAAAATAAGTTCCATACACAACACCCAAAAAACCTTTTCAGCAAAAATTAATTCCAGATAAAAATAAAGTATTTTACAGTACTCACCTTGGTTCTGTATATGTCCTTCTCCTCTTCAATGTCATGTAACATATCAATTTCATCTTCATCTATAGAGCTATCATCAGAGTCTTGATAACGACGATGTCTATGATGATGATGTGATGTGCCACCATTATCAGCACCGCCTGACAGTAAACAACTTTAAGATCAATTTTCAAAACAATAACAATATATACCTACAATGTACAACTCCACATGAATTAATTGTCACTGAACAGGAAGTAGTTCATTATGTAATTGTATTTAAGATGAATATATGTGTCCTGAAAAGAGGCATATATAATTGAAATGGGAGGGGGGGGCACTGGAGGGACAAAATAGAATTCAAGCTATGAGTGAAGGGTCCCAAGAAACTCTTGGCGATATTTGATTGAGTTGAATACAAAATTAACACGATACATGTATGTATGACATAATGTACATGCATTGTATCAATTTCGAAAAAAAAATCTCATGGACGAACAAAACCCAAATTAATAGTTTCAGTTTTTAGACTTCCTCAAACAAGGCGTATCATATATCCATCATATGCATGGGTAATACATCCCTCCTTCTTACTGCTAAGAGAACAAAAATATACCTTGTTTATTGAAAGGATCTTGCAGTTCAGTTGTACCATAATGAGGTCTATGTTGTTCATTTGCTATCGGGGCTTCAATGTCTGTATCGTCATTGCCTGCAATTACACAAGTCAACAAATATAAACCATTTGTAGATTTCCGTGTCACATGGTATTTTTGTAATAAGAATATATCATCACAATCATCCTGTCATTGTGTTTTGTTCGTAGTAAGTTGTCAAAAAAACAACTAAGGTATTATCCAAGTATCCATTTGAAATAACATCAAGTGCAGGTGAATGAATGACTTCTAGTGAGTGCTGTATACTCCTGATATGTGTGTTCTGTTTATACAAATTCAGGAGAACATATGCAATTAGCGGAGTGTATCACACATAAACTTCAAATGAGCCTGCAACGTTGGTGATGTAATCAAACAACATATTACTTGCACTTGAAAGATGCAAATTCTCTATCTCCTATGAAAACAGTAGAAGTTGCCATAGATAATAATTAACTTTTTCACAAGACTTTCTTGCCCAAATTTTCTGCACTTTTTTCTTATATTTTTCAATATTTCTGAAAATTAACCAAAATTTTGAAGTCAACAGATAAAATTTGAATCAATTTTCAGTTTTTACTCAAAATATTTGGCTATTTTTGTCCCAATCTTCTGAAGGAAAGTGCAGACTATAAACAAGACTATTTTGTGATAAAAAAAGAAAACTGGTGGGGAAAAGGTTTTTCATTTTTTTGTGATGTATTGGAACAACAAATCAGTACCATAGCAACTAAAAAGTTGATCATGTGTTACCATAGCAATGATAAATGTTGCAATGAACAACAATTTGTACATCATGTGATGATATGGGAGCAGTCCAAGCAACAAATCAGTACCATAGCAACTAAAAAGTTGATCATGTGTTACCATAGCAATGATAAATGTTGCAATGAACAACAATTTGTACATCATGTGATGATATGGGAGCAGTCCAAGCAACAAATCAGTACCATAGCAACTGAAGTTGATCATATATTACCATAGCAACAATACAACAACTAACAATGTGTGAACATTTCCAAATAGGCATATGTTGAGTAAACGTCTGCTTAACCCGTAAACCATTATTTTCCCTGCCAAAATGTTGGCCTAAAACATTGCACATTCATATTATTTCTGCATTAATTTGTGAAATAAATAATTCTTATATGGCAATTATATAGATGAAAAGTGACAAAGTTTTACTTGGGAGTTGAAAAGGTTAATGTGGTATAGTGCTATAGTACATTTATGTTGTGGTACTCCCATGATGCATCTCACTGTTAACAACTGATGGATTGATCACTGGTAGCATAGTGTTTGTTACAACAGACTCATGATCAG